TTGGATTTTATTCTATAGACAAAGTGGCATAATTCCACTATGATAAAATTTATAAAATTAAGCATAAACAAACCCACACAAAAAAGAAAATGAATAATAATGAACCTTTGCATCACATGATGTTGCGCATTTATTCAGGGCATGTGGTGCTCTACATAATATGCATTCAAATGGTCTGTTTCCCTCCTGGGAGCTGTTGTTTTCATGTGTTCTTTCTGTCTTCCTCTTGCTCTCTTTTTAATCCCTCACTCTACAGCCTGTCTTTGCAGTCTATTCATTCACTGGAAATAATATGGTTTTAATTCCTTGCATTGGCTTGGCGTGAAGCACATACGTCATATCCCTAATCCCTCCTCTTCTTCACTGGATTCGTTCCCTAAGGATCAAAGTTTTTGTGCTATTCCAGCCTGAACTCCATTCTGATTTGATCTGAAATCATGGAAAACAAGTTCACCATGTAATCTTCTGTGGTAAAAAGTTGGTGTTTAAGTTGAAGCAATCATGGTTAAACTCTCATTTTATTGGCTTTGAAAGCTGTAATAAGCTGAAGGCTGTGTTTTATTTCTGTGTTTTGACACTTTTAGATATTTGCTCTGATTGTATTCTTCTGTTGACAGGATATTCAATATTCTCTGATTTTTTTTTTTTTAAAGAGTCACTGAATCTGGAGAAACACATTTTTACAAGCTCATAAAGTCATCTTCTTGAGTCTTGTTCAACATTTGTACTTATCTGGTGGGCACGTTCTGAGCGAATTTCATTTGTGGTTGATCTTTTAATCTGTTTCTATACTGAAACAGAATCCGGTAGAAAGAGGTAATTTGTTCATACTGTTTCATACTGTACAAATCATTAATTTGTGTTTGTACTCTGATTACTGTATGTTTGTTTTACTGTTTACATGCACGTACTGTATAATATGAGAATACAGTGTTTGACCTCAAACTGTGTTTTCTTGTCATGCCAATTAACAAATCACAGACCTGCTGCACATGTAGACATGTGAAATTGAAATATGCAGGAAAAAAATTATTTAAAATGTTTAATCCATGTGCCTGAGTGAATCATAAACAAAAGGATTAAGCTAACCTTGTTGAGAAAATACAATTTCATTAATGGAGGCTGGCTCAGACAGCAGCCAAGCTAGTCACTTGTAAAATTAGCCCAAGCTAAGAAATCGTTACACATCATCAGCTCTCTATTTCTCTTTATTAACAGGCGAAAACATGGATGGGCAGTTTCACATTTAAAAGTCATGTTACCAGATCGGGGATCTATTGTATGTGACATAAAAATTTAGATCAATTGAGACTCCTTTTTCTTTGAGGAATCTGTGGTTCCCATTGTCCACTTGTCATTGTGACCGAGTTATTAATATTTAATACAAAATACATTTTCTCAAAGACTCAGCATCAAAGCTCAGTTTCACTTAGCACTTATTACAATGTAAATTAATAGTTTATTAAATAAATTCAACTCAATTATACTATTTTTTTTGTCTGGCTGGCAGCTTAAGATTTGATTTTATTACACCATTACATTGAATTGGTTATTACTGATATTAATATTTACATTTACATTTAGTCAATTAGCAGACACTTTTATCCAAAGCGACTTACAAATGAGGCAATAGAAGCAATCAAACCAGCAAAAGAGCAATATTATGCTAGTTCTGTGACTAGTCCCAGTTAGTCTAATGCAGTACATATAGCAAGGTGTTTTCTTTTGTAATAATAACAAATAAAGAAAACAAGTAAACATAATAGAAAAAGAATAGAGATAGAGGATAAATTTTATTTTTAAATAAATAAAAAGAACACAAGCAGATCGAATAGAGAGTGCTTATGTTAGAGGGTCAAGTTTTTTAATTATAAATAAAAGAAAACAAGTAGGTAGAATAGAAACAGAATAGAAAGTGCTAGTGTTAGTGGGTTAAGTTGTTTTATATATATATATATTATAAAAGAAAACAAGTAGATAGAATAGAAATAGAATAGAGAGTGTTAGTTTTAGAGGATCATTTTTTATAATAAATAAAAAGAAAACGTAGTTATAATGGAAATAGAATAGAGAGTGAAACTGTTAGAGGGTCAAGTTTTTTAATAAATAAAAAGAAATCAAGTAGATAGAATAGAAATAGAATAGAGAGTGTTTGTGTTAGAGGGTCAAGTATAGATGGAAGAGAGATGTGTTTTTAGCTGTTTCTTGAAGAATCAAGTTGGGCATATAACTGAAATGATTGCGTATCTCTTTTTTTTCCTCCGTTCACATGTTTCTCCCTGCTGAGAATGAATGGACAGTGTTATTATTAACTAAAACTATTAAAAATATTTTTTGGTAATTGAATAAAGCTAAAATAAAATATAAATATTGGATGAAGAAAAACAAAAAACCTAAAAGAAACCTAGAAGTGTTGAAATAAATATTAATTTGAGATACTAAAACTGAAATAAAATTAAATTAAAGCTACATTTAAAACTGAAACAATTCAATAATAAAAATGACAAAATCACTTAGAATTTCTAAATTGCAAATTAAAAGGAAAACTGAAAATATAAACAAAAGCTAATTCAAAACATTAACAAATACTACAAAAGTATATAGGTAGTATTTAAACAATCGACTAACAGTGTTTATTTGTGGAATAATTAATTATTGATATTCAGGTTTTTACTGTCTTTTTTTTTAAGGTCAGATCAAATTACTACAAAAGTCATGTAGGCAATATGCATATATCCCTTTTCATTCCACAATATAGTTAATATGACTTTAGCGCTTTAAATGACTGAGAACACAGCGCTCTCTAAAGAGCAATGACGCACACATCAGTAATCCAGATTACACTATGTCCATAATCCTTTAAAATACAATTTCTTAAAACCCCCCCACCAAAAATGTTTATTTTTTTACTGTTGTATGTCTAATTGTTCAAACATTTATTTAATGTTTATGAACACACAGTAGCACAAATCCCCAATATATCAATATGTTTGGTGCTAAATGTGCTAAATGGAGCTCGCTTTCATAATTTTCCCACTGGTGTTGTGTTGACTATCGCTCGTTGTGAAAACGCTGCCAGCATGAACTGCCAGTTCTGTTGTTATGACAGACTGCTTCCCATTTACATCTGCGTAATGATTGCGTAATCTGCTTCAAATGTTGTTTAATCTAAAAAATGTACATGACTTCTGGAAGCCATTTTGACCTTTCACTCTGCTCTTGAACCTTTGGACATCTGATCGTAAGCTTGTGACTGATTACTCTGGATTGCAAGGCAGCGGATCAGACACTCTCGATGTCAGTACAATGTGTTACATGTTATGAACTACATATCAAAGAACCGTTTGTATCTCATAGTGACATCACATGTGTGATTTAATATTTCACTTGTTTGGACCTCAAAGCAAATCCACTTGGATTTCACAAAGCTGTGGGCCATTCGTGTTAATATACAGAAGATATTTTGAAGAGTCTTTCCTTTTTGTTTGGTACAAATATTCCAAGTAAAGTTTGGACAAAGAAATTCCATATTTATGCCAGTTATGCATTGGTTTACCTCTGTAAAACCACTGTAAATACCAGTGGTATGTTTCAAAATTGCTAATGAGTTTTGTGACTTGGCTGCCCTCCACAAATTTGCCACATTTTTCCGATGACATCTTGAATGAAGAAATATTATTTTATTTTTATAAGCATTCTTTCCATGCACCAATATCTTTTTAGTGGTATGCAAATAAGTGGCCAAAATTAATCGTTTGTCAAGTATGCTTTTAGTTTGTTTGTTCTTAGTCTGAATTGTGTGGATTTCTGAATGCAGGATCATTCAAATTAAAGAAATAAGCAGTCGTATGTAAGTAATGTAATATAAATATCAATATATGCAGAAGCTAAAGCCATCTCTTATGTCATCAGTGATTTGTGACCTCAAAGAAAGAAGGGAAAAATACAGTAATGGGGCCATATATAAAATACAAATTAAGAAAAAGTGAAGGAAGATGTAAACCATCTTATTTTTAAGTATAAATGTAACAATTATTGAATTAAAAAAAAATGCATAAAGATGCTGAGAAGTGTCAGATTTGCTTTTTGGGAAGTTTGGGAATGAACATCTTTGCAGTTCTCCAGTTCACTAAAATGTTCAGTGGTCCAAAGAACCCTATTAAGACATAATAAAGTAGCCACCAATGTTTATTTCACTGTTGTGCATCTTGGCTGAGATATACAGATATCAGATGTTGCTGACAAGACATCCACTGAACATCATTCTCAGGTTAATGAAAGTGCACTTGAGGAAGTCAACCTTAAAGTGGACACAAGAGCTTTTAAAGACTAATTAGGTTGTAGCATTACAGTTACACTTGAACCACTGCAGAGACATTATTTGTCAGGCTACATATCTATCATTTGTTCATTAGCATGTCACATACACAAACATTGTGGCACAGAAAAGTACATTTTTCATATGCATCCTTATGTTTAACAGTTGATACTACTGTATATTGTCAGATATTTCTGAAAATTCCATTTATATATTTTCTCTGTATTCTATCTGTTTACTTCTATTTGTTCTACTTCTATCATCAACTAAAACTCAGTAGTTAACTTGTTTTGCACTTCATTATGTCAGCATATTATTGTGTATTTATTAAGATGTTAAATAAGTATTGAGTATTTGTTTTTTAGTACAAATGTGTAAAAAGAGTGACCTTTTGTCTGTTTGTCTTTGCATGCATTGTAGTCTGTTATAAAAATTAAATTCTGAAAAAAAGCTGGAAATATGCACATTTTATGCAATTTCTAGCAAAATTACTTGGCATTACATGCTACTTTGGCTTGTGATATTCAGCCTCTTTATTGAACATTACCATCTATGTATGTAGTAATGCTATTTCTGTTATGCACAAAGTGAAACTAAAATTAAATTAAAAACATGAAACACATTTGTATGTTACCTGACAAAATGTTTTTTCCTTACAGTGTACAAAATAGCAACATAAAAATGATTTGGGATTAATTTATTATTTTTCAGATGCCAGAATGATTCATGTTAAAACAGAGACAGAATCTGCAGAGGGAAAACGAGACCACCAGTCTGAACATTTCCAATCGCAGTGAGTCTCGTGCATAATCTTTTCCTTTTGACTAATCTTGTGCCCTGGGGAATGTGCTTTCATGAAAAGCACCGTTGTTTCTGGGATTACAAAATGTTGCTTGCCTAATTCCGTCTCATAAGCTTGATGTAGACCTTTATCTCATAGCAAATGATTTCCCTATGTGCAAAATAAAGTACATTTTATTTCCTGGGTGTGCCAAATTGTACATTCTGGTTAACATCAAATAAATTAATATAATGTAGAGACGGTAAAAAAGTATTGCACTCCTAAAGCTGGCAGTAAATTAAGTTGTTTATTTTTTTTTGTAGCAGCCACATTTTCACTAATTGTGACATTTAAAAGCCAGTTTTAATGTACAGTGTAATGGCACTTATGTGCAGTAAAACATCTTGAAAGTTCACACACAACCTCAAAATATAGGTTATATATGTTTGATTGTGTTTACTTTCAGAACTGCATATATGGAATCAGCTTAACCCTTATTAAATTATGGCCACAAATTCTCTTCTTAAATGTTCTCTGCAATGATACGGATGAAATTGGACCCCGTTCTGTAACATTTCCATTAGGAGCAGCTTATGTGCTTTGTCAAAATATCAGTTTAGAATTTGTATTACTTGCTGAAATCTTCTATATTAAATATAAAAGACCAAACTACCACAAACACAGACTCCACACTCATGTCGACAAACAGTCCACAAAAATACAGCAAGGATGACATAAGCACACAATTCCAATAAGCAAGTGTCATACCTGTTAGAAACTACCAGGACATTAAATTATCAAATTTTTAGTTTATTTGGTCTTGTTCTCAACAGCAGAAGTCTCAATCTTTTGGCCAGTGAGCAACTGCCAGATTCCTCCTCTGTAGTTCTCATTTCCAAGGGAGTAAACAAAGACGTTGAATGTAGGTGATGTCTTAGCCAAAATGGGTGCAATCTGTAAGAATATGTTCAGAACAGATTAATTTTATGCACACATTATTGCATAAATAGTTTTAACAGAAATTGTATGCATCAGTTACTGTTTACACTACAGTCTCCAAATTTATTTGATCAAAAATCCAGTAAAATTTAAAACAACTAGTTTCTCTTTGAATTTGTTTTAAAATGTAATGTATTTGTGTAATGACAAAGCTGAATTTTCTTCAGTCAATACTCCAGTCTTCAGTGTCACACAGAAATCATTCATGTTGATTGGTGCTCAAGTAACAGAAGAAAAAAAAACATGTTGTGCTGCTCAATATTTTTGTGTTATACAAGATTCTTTAATATATATATATATATATATATATATATATATATAATACAAGATTTTTTTATATATATATATATATATATATATATATATATATATATATATATATATATATATATATACACACAGTTGGGTCCATATATATTTAGACACAGGCACAATTTTTGTTATTTTAGCTGCTGACCAAAACATATTCAAGTTACAGTTGTATCATGAATTTGGGTTTAAGTGCACACTCTGAGCTTTAATTTGAGGGTATTCTCATCAAAATTGGAGGAAAGGTTAAGGAATTACAACGGACCATAAGTAATTGGACAGCTGACTCAAAAGCTTTTTCATGGACAGGCGTGGGCTATTTCTCCATTATTTCTACATCAATTAAGCAGGTAAATGGTCTGGAGTTGATTGTGCCATTTGCTGCTGTGAATCATGTAATAGGAGCTCTCCATGCAAGTGAAACAGACAATTGTTAGGCTTCAAAAACAAAACAAATCTATCAGAGAGATAGCAGGAACATTCTGAGTTCAGCAAGTGAAATGCATGCTCAATCGGGTTGAAATCAGGAGAAACTAAAGGCAGAAAGACCCACAAACAAACAACAACTGTCAGCTGCAGTAAAGGCTTGGCAAAGCATCACAAAGGAGGAAACCCAGTCTCTGGTGATGTCCATGAGTTCCAGGCTTAAGGCAGTCATTGCCTGCAAAGGATTCTCAACAAAATATTAAAAATGAACATTTTATTTATGATTATATTTATTTGTCCAATTACATTTGAGCCCCTGAAAATGGGGGGACAGTGTATAAAAAATGGTTGTAATTTCTAAGCATTTTATGTTTTATTTTTTTCAACCCCTTGAATTAAAGCTTAAAGTCTGCACTTCAATTTCATCTTGTTTTATTTTTAATTCTGTTCTGGTGGCATAGAGCCAAAATTATGAAAATTGTGTCAGTGTCCAAATATATATGGACCTAACTGTTTATATAAAATCAGTGTAAGAATTGGATGTGTCATGTATTAATTTCATTAAAAAAAAAATAAAAAAAAATGAGTGACTGAATGGTAGTATGTTTTTATTTGAGGTTTACTGTAACCTTTATAACTTTTTATTTTCTTCTGTGGAACACAAAAGAAAATTTGATAAATCTATCAGGGTTTTTATTTCCAATGTTGTTTTGGAACCCACTGACTTTCATTGTATACACAAAAACAAACTTTACAGTATCTTCTTTTGTGTTCTACAAGACGACATAAAGGTGGGTAAATGATTCATGTTTAGATTAACTATCTTTCTGTGGGTGTCTGCTGTGCTTCAAACATGATTTCCTTACCATTCTCAGTTTAGGAGAGACAAGGGTTGCGTTCTCCACAGCAGCATAGTAAGCCAGGATACCATAGGGGCCCCAGCAAAACAACATGGTCTTCAGAGGAGTGCCACAGTTGAACTGCACATAGAGAGCAAGCAGGAGATTTAGACTTAGTTGGATTTCTAAGTCACATGATGCAGATTTAACTTTGATGTAACATATACACCATTAAACATTCTACTGTTCTGATGAGCGAACAGACAGACACACACACACACACACACACACACAAAGAGTTAATTAGAACAAATGTCATAAGCTCAATTAGGCATGAAGGCTCAACAAAGACATAATAAAATGACCTACATACTACAGGCTGTAGTACTTTTATGTGTACTACTGAGAAAAACAAAACAAACAAAGTGATTCTGTGCTATTATTATATTTCAGCTTTATTCCATTTAACAAAATATTTTTAATAGTTTTAGTTTCAGTTAAGGATAATAACCCTGTTCTGTGGTTGTCTTAACTGTCTGTAAGGAAATCCTCTTCCTTTTCAATCACTTTGGTTTTGGTGTGCATGCAATTTTTTTGTGTTACATAATAGTTCTGTCCTAGAGAAGAGTTCAGTAGCTGTTGCAGAGATGCCTTTGTGCTCCCAGGCAAAAAGTTTCTTTGACCTACTCAAACCCTGTGAATAACAGTGTTATGCAATGTGAGGGGAAATGTATACTCTGTTCTTTTCATGCACCCTTTGGTCTCACATGTCAAATTCTAATATGGTACAGAGGATACTTTACCTTGGCTTGGCCAGTCTTCTTGAATTTCCTATCAATGGACTGATAGGAAGACATCACAACAAACATCTGAATGCCCATATTGAAGATGGACATGGGGATCAAGTAAGACACATAGTTCCTGTGTAAAATGACAGACACAATTACATTATAGGTCTTATTTCACAGTTAACAGATTTACAAGGAAATGAGAGTCATGTGACCTCTCCGTGACCCTAATATTGCTTTTTATGAAAGTGAAAGTGACGTGACATGTGGCCAAGTATGGTGACCCATACTCAGAATTAGTGCTCTGCATTTACCCATCCAAAGTGCACACACACAGCAGTATGTGGGTCAGAACGCACATTTGAATATATGAGTTCAAATGTGACTGAAGCAGACACTGATGAGCAATGTCTTATGTTATAATCATACAAAATGACGTGAATTATGAATGTAGTAATTAACTGTGCATCTTACCTGTCACCCTTGCTGTAGTCCAGTGTGCAGCAGGTCCTCAGGGGCTCGTAGTCATACTCTCCCCAGCCAATCAGAGGCATGGCGGCCCAGAAGGCAGTGAAGAGCCAGATGAAGATAACCAGGGTGATGGCACTGCTCCACTGCAGCTTTGTCCCTAATAACACAAGGTATTACTACAATAATACAAGTTATACTGTTTACTACATTGAAGTTTACTAAATAAATACAACAGTGGTACTGGTATCATACAGCTAATTATTAGTTTACAATCTTTATACATTCATGTTCATACATATGCATAAGAACAAAAGAAAAAGACTAAATGTATTTATTGCTTAAATAAGTAATAGGTATATTTTATTAACCAAAATTAGAAGGGCATAGTAGGAACTGAGCATCTTCAAGAAAGAGAGAGTCATGCAAGCGTTCTTAATGTTTTTGAGTCTCTTATACTCACCAAGGCTGAATTTAATTAATATTCTGAAATATTAAAATTTAAAATAAATGTTTTTTTTATTTTAATATATTTAAAAATGTAATTTATTCCTGTGATAGCAAAGCTGATTTTTCAGCAGCCAATAATCCAGACTTCACATCCTTAAATCATTCTACACTCTTAAAAACAAAGATTCTTTACTAGCATCTGTAGTTCCATGAAGAACCTTTAACATATAAAAAAGGTTCTTTAGAGTAGAAAAGGTTATAAAAATGTTCATATAACAAAAACAAAATGGTTATTTTAAGAACTATTCACAGAAGAGTAGTTCCCTTCCGAGGGAACTTCGAACTGCGTCCTCTAGGGGATGCTATGGGGAACACCTCCAGCATGACCGGTGTCTGAAGCATACATGTAAACGCACCAATGCTATTGGCCGGCGACAGTCTATGACGTCATCAACGGCACAACCACATTATAAAAGGGCGCCAGGAGAACACGTCATTCTCTTCTTCGTCTTCAGAGACTTTGTTTGAAGTGCATACTGGTAAGAACGTTGTTTCTGTTTGTTACTATTATGGTGAGCACTAGCACTAGCAAGGCGTTTAGGAGATGTGTGGATCCGTGTCCGCGTTATTTTTGACACCCAATGACACACACGACCTTTGCGTCATATGTTTGGCGAAGAGCACGCGCGTCACGTCCTTGAGGAGGCGGCAAGTGTTCATTGTGAGCTTTTTTCCATGTGGAAGCTCCGCTCTCGTTTGGCCCTTTTTTCGAGGAAAGAGGGTCAGCCATCGGTTCCTCAGGGCTCAGGACCTGCCACTGCTGAGGCACGGAGGAAACTGAGCTCATGGGGTTCTCAGGTGGACCTGGCTGATGAATTAAAGAAGGGGCTTTCCCTTTCTCGTTCATGGACGAGAGTGAGCTGCTGGAGGATGATGTTATTTCTCTGACGTCATCCGATCCAGTGGCTAGTGCTCTGCTGGCTCCCGGCCAGGAAGAGCAGGAGATGTCAGAGGTGGACGAGGAAGTTGAGACTGGGTCCTCTCAAACCTCCTGCCCTGCGTATGAGGAGCTGCTTGAGGTTATTGAACGCGCCATGGCAAGCCTTGACTTGCCGTGGAAGCGGACTAAGAAGGTGGCGCCTCGCGGTCGGCTCGATGAGCGCTATCTTTCTGACCATAACCCTCCAGCCCAGGTGAGTCTTCCATTTTTTCCTGATCTTCATGTGGAGATCGAGAAGACTTGAGGAGGCTATAGAAAGAGACATCCTCTCTTAAGACTCCCTCCTTGCCATCCAGAGCCCTTCAAATGACATCTCGTCTGAATGGCAGGGTGTACGCAGCAGCAGGTCAGGCAGAGGCTTCATTGCATACCATGGCAATTTTGCAAGCCTACCAGGCTGACCTGCTGAAAGACCTGGATAAAGGTCAGGGTCTTTCCCCTGAAGAAGTGTCTGAGCTGCGCCGCACTACGGATCTCACTCTCCGTGCCACCAAACAGACCGCTACTGCCATGGGCAAATCTATGGCGGCTATGGTGGTAACGGAGAGACATCTGTGGGTGAACCTGGCTGACATCTGGGCGAAAGAGAGGGGCATTCTCCTTGATGCACTGGTCTCTCCTTCTGAACTTTTCGTCACTTTTGTCGAGAAGGTTGTCGAGAAGTTTAAGGAAGCGAGAGCGCATTCAGCTGCTTTTAAGTCCTTCATCCCACGAAGGCCCAGGTTTCAGGGCAAAGGGGTCTTGGCCCGTCTTGGTCTAAGGACCAAAGACAGGTTCAGAAGGCTAGTGTCGCAACTCATGCCCCGCCTCTGCCTGCAGGCAGGTCTAGAAGGCGGCGCGAGTCGAGGGGTCAGAGGCAAGACCTGAGGGAGGTGATCCAGACGAGGCGTTCCCAACACTCTCGTCCGGACCAGGACGGATCTCCCTCTTAGGGTATTTACATGTACCCTAGTCTTCCTCCCCCAATTCCCCTGTTAACCCTTTCCTGCCCTAATCATGATAAGAACCTCCATGCAACCGGCATTACAGTCTCCGGCTGGACCAATGATGCTTTTGCGCACCTTTCTAAAATCCTTTATGGTAAGGGTGTCGCGATCTACTTCGTCCCCTTTTTCTGAGTGGATTTAGGCCCCGGATTTCCTGGGCTTCAATCTTCTGCTGTATCTCTGTTGATACCTGTATGGTTGAGCTTGGTAGTGCTCCCTCTTTTCCGAGGGGTTTCTATGAGCACGCCGCTCCCTCCTGAGCATGGTTGCTGTGGCTTTAGTAACGGTATTTCTAAATCCATATCTATGGTAAGTGCTCACACTAGTTCTTTGGGCACTTTTTCTAGTCCATATTCATGGCAGGTGTGCACGCTAGTCTTTGTGCACCTTTTTTAAAAACCCTTGTTGGGTAAGGGTGGCGCAATGCTGACCTCGTCCCATTTCTCTGAGTTGGTTCTGGCCCCACTCTCCGTGTACACACTTTGTAGACAGGGTGTTGCTACTAGTCCCCTGGGTATCTTAAACTCTCAGAGTGGGAAGTAGTCCCTGTGTTAGAAGCCAGGATATGGGTTTTTGCCAGCCCTGGTTCTTGGCTGTATCCCCTTAAAGGAATCCTTTCTTTATTATTCCAAGCCTTGAGCTTTGCCCTGGGCTCAAGTTTTTCATAAGCCAGCCCTTGCAGGTAAGTTTTTTGGCACAGCTCGGGTCTTTTTTGGCCGTAGGGGGTCATATCACTAACAGCCGTCAGAAATGTCCTAGGGGCAGCTCCTCTGATTTGGTTGAGTTGGTACTTAGTGCTCGTCTCAGTATTGGCATGCACTCCCCTCAGCATGGTGGCATGGGTATACCGTTCCCCATAGCGACCCCTAGAGGACGCAGTTCGAAGTCCCCTCAGAAGGGAACGTCTCAGGTTACATATGTAACCATGGTTCCCTGAGAAGGGAACGAGACACTGCGTCCTCTAATCTCCTTGCCATGCTTCAGACGTAAGCTTCAGGCGAAGAAGCGGATGACGTGTTCTCCTGGCGCCCTTTTATACTGTGGTCGTGCCGGTTATGACGTCATAGACTGTCGACGGCCAATAGCATTTGTGTGTTTACATGTATGCTTCAGACACCGGTCACGCTGGAGGCGTTCTCCATAGTGACCCCTAGAGGATGCAGTTTCTCGTTCCCTTCTCAGGGAACCATGGTTACATACGTAACCTGAGACGTTCTTGTAGTTCTTATATGTAATATTTACAAATGCCTCTTCCTACTTTTAAAACCTATATTTTTAATATTAGTGTAATATTCTGATATGGTGCTCAAAAAATATTTGCTGAATAAAAGTATTCATTTATTTTTTTAAATCTTTAGTGTTTTGAATGGTTGTGTATGTTTTTGTTATTTACATTTACACACCATAACATATTAGCATGATCTGTGTTCACATTTAAAATGGCTATTCACTGAGATTCTGAAAAGAATGGCCTTTGGTGAAGCCTATGTGCACTATAAGTGCCTTTAGCAGGTGGTCTTGGCAACATGGGTGGGCTGAACTTGAACAAAGCATGTCAAATATCCTTCTGATGTGGTAAGAAGCATATCATTCATTCTTTTACTTTTGTTACTCACTTGTGCAGTACTGGTGGTATCTGTCCCAAGCAACGGCTGCAATAAAATGGATGCTGGCAAGAGCAGTCATAAAGCCCTGGAATCCATGGGTTTGGCATCCGTCTGATCCATAAGGCCAGTATCTGGAGTTTCAAGAAGATAAAGTATTTAAAAAGATAAAAGTTTGCTGGTTGATGTTAATAGCTTATGTTGTTTATCTGTATTAATAGTTTTAAATTAATAGTCATGTGTTATGTATTTTTCTCAATGACAGATTTTTCTAACTTGTTTCCTCTATCTTGAATATTTGATCACATCCTTGCTTGTATCAGTAAAAATTGAAATATAACATATTGGTGTTTTGGAACATGGTAGCTGGTTTCTGGCCCAAACGGCTCATTAGCTGGCTACAGTTTTCCAAAAAAAACAGCTGATTTTTTTCACTAGCTAATGACCAACTGTTGGAAACCAACTACCATGCTGGATATTCCAACAATGAATTCCTGCTTACAATCATCAATCAATCAATAAATAATAGTTTCCCAGCCTGGCCAACCTGGTGTTGCCAGAAAGGGCAGACGAAAATGCCCAAATCTTCTCTAAAACCAGCCAACAAACCAGATTGTCCAGACCAGGGAGACCAGCTAAAACCAGAAAATCACCTTAGGCTTGATTATGCTATTTACAGGTGCATCTCAATAAATTAGAATGTCGTGGAAAAGTTCATTTATTTCAGTAATTCAACTCAAATTGTGAAACTTGTGTATTAAATAAATTCAATGCACACAGACTGAAGTAGTTTAAGTCTTTGGTTCTTTTAATTTTGATGATTTTGGCTCACATTTCACAAAAACCCACCAATTCACTTTCTCAACAAATTAGAATACTTCATAAGACCAATAAAAAAAAACATTTTTAGTGAATTGTTGGCCTTCTGGAAAGTATGTTTATTTACTGTACATGTACTCGATACTTGGTTGGGCCTCCTTTTGCATTAATTACTGCATCAGTGCGGCGTGGCATGGAGACAATCAGCCTGTGGCACTGCTCAGGTGTAATGGAAGCCCAGGTTGCTTTGATAGTGGCCTTCGGGTCATCTGCATTGTTGGGTCTGGTGTCTCTCATCTTCCTCTTGACAATTCAGATCAGGCGAGTTTGCAGGCCAATCAAGCACAGTAACACCATGGTTATTGAACCAGCTTTTGGTGCTTTTGGCAGTGTGGGCAGGTGCCCTGTGGGCAGGTGCTCTAAAATGTCCTGGTAGATGGCTGCGTTGACTGTGGACTTCAGAAAACACAGTGGACCAACACCAGCAGATGACATGGCAGCCCAAATCATCACTGACTGTGGAAACTTCACACTGAACTTCAAGTAACATGGTTTCTGTGCCTCTCCACTCTTGCTCCTGACGCTGGGACCTTGATTTCCAAATGAAATGCAAAATTTACTTTCATCTGAAAAGAGGACTTTGGTCCACTGTGTTTTCTGAAGTCCACAGTCAACGCAGCCATCTACCAGGAAATTTTAGAGCACTTCATGCTTCCTTCTGCTGACAAGCTTTATGGAGATGCTGATTTCATTTTCCAGCAGGACTTGGCACCTGCCCACACTGCCAAAGGTACCAAAAGTTGGTTAAATGACCATGGTGTTGGTGTGCTTGACTGGCCAGCAAACTCACCAGACCTGAACCCCATAGAGAATCTATGGGGTATTGTCAAGAGGAAGATGAGAGACACCAGACCCAACAATGCAGATGACCTGAAGGCCGCTATCAAAGCAACTTGGGCTTCCATACCACCTCAGCAGTGCCACAGGCTGATTGTCTCCATTCCACGCCGCACTGATGCAGTAATTTATGCAAAAGGAGGCCCAACCAAGTATTGAGTACATGTACAGTAAATGAACATACTTTCCAGAAGGCCAACAATTCACTAAAAAAAATTTTTTTATTGGTCTTATGAAGTATTCTAATTTCTAATTGAGATAGTGAATTGGTGGGTTTTTGTGAAATGTGAGCCAAAATCAGCACAATTAAAAGAACCAAAGACTTAAACTACTTTAGTCTGTGTGCATTGAATTTATTTAATACACGAGTTTCACAATTTGAGTTGAATTACTGAAATGAACTTTTGCACGACATTCTAATTTAGTGAGATGCACCTGTACTTTGGCAGGGATGTGATTAAAAGACGCATTTCGTCACACAGACAGTTAAAAATATCATGCAACCCCAACTATCCCTCTAACTTAACAGCTGCACTTCAGTCATTCATTATGAAAAAAGGCCCCTCTTAAGCAGCATTACATCACAGCTGTATTTACACACTACACCCGTGACGCAGCGTCGCCTCTTGGGGCTCCGTCAACAACATCATCAAAACACCAACGTGCGCGTGCTCACCTCAGAAAACTGGAGAAGGCAGCAATTGTGGCGTTCATAGAAATACCCATATCTGCCATGGCCAGACTGAACACGAGAAAATTACTTGGGGTCCGTAATTCTCTTATTTTAAGAAAAGCAACAACGGTGACAGCATTCAGGAAGAACCCGAGGAGACCTTCAGAAGACACAGAAAACGTGTGAACATTCAGAGCTTCTCGAGACCCCCAAAACAACGCGGTTACACAACAGTAACATACATTAATTGACAGTCTTCAGATATACCGTTAAATCACCGCTATGTGTTTTACAACCGTTTTGCTATCGTTCCTGGATAAAGCGCATCCTATTGAGGCAATGCATATCCACAAATTAATACACGCGATCTTCTTTTTTTAACCTGAACATGACTCTTACCCTCCACGAGCAGACAAGATCCCAGGGAGAACACATCAAACTCGGAGAATCCCTCCGGTAATGGATACGACGTTACCATTTTGAACGCAATTCTGATACCAAACTATGCAGATCGACAGTCCGCTCGCGCGCGCGATGTGCCTCGGGGTGTTCAATCGAAGCCTTCTTTTAAAGGAGCATTTCACGTGAAAAAGCATGAACGTAATTATGTAAAGCCCTCTCCCTCTGCCTCAATCCGCACAAGAATGTCTTAATGAATATAACAACTCCTGCCATTGACCCCTAATACGTATTTACACAGGGCGACTGTAAAGCGCTCATTCAGTTAAACAACAAGCCTTTGTGTGTCGGACGCTTGAGCGCTCTGATGATAAGACCGAGGTGGATGAGAACCAGTCCAATCTGTGCCAATCCAGCGCATCGTGTTCTGTGTTCTGTCGAGGTGTTGTCGAGCTGTCACTCCTGACACTAACGGACACAGTATACCACACGGTTTGCATAGGGATGATTAGAGAAACTGCATTTACAATGACTTTCCTCAATTGTATGAGACAGACATTGTGGTTTGGAGAAAGAGAATAGATCTTCAGACACATTAGAGAGAGAAAATGACACTTGTATTCACAAATAGATTAGTTGTTGTTCTGAGATATAATTTTAGGGACATTTACAACATTAAGCCTTTACATCCTATACAATCCTAATCGTAAAATGTGTTCAGTGCTGAAATAGAAACATTTTGAATATTTGTAGAAAAAATAGCCAATCCGAATTGCATTTAATAAAAGGCCCTTTGTTTCCTGATTGCATTATTCATACATGAGTGAAAGCCAAATGATAAGGTACAAAGAGTAACACTGATACACTAACCTACTTTCATCAGGAATAGATTTAATCAGATCTACAATCATCAGTGTTTTATCACAAGAAGTCCTGAGTATTTCCACATACAGGGCCTTACATATACAATGTATAATTTCTGAGTGAAACATGAAACGGCAAAATTCAAATTCAGGGCTTATCATACCATACATGTCCCAAACAAAACCCATATTATTCAGTCAAGTATTTCAGCAAAGTTTACGAGGTTATGAAATATAATTTACATGTTAAGAATGCCTAGTCATATAACCATACAAAATCCTTTTTTTTCCACTCAAATTTCCACATACTTCTGTAAAGTAAAAGATGAATTTGGTTTTGTAACAAAGCTTTAACAACAACAACAACAAAAGTACATGGTACTGAGCTCACTGCAGCCTTTACTGAATTCTATATACTTTATAACTGTGACACTCACAAAAAGATCTTTAGGGGAATAATGTGACCTTAGTAGGTTTGTGAGAGAGGTTTAGGAAGTCAGAGGTTAAATTAAATGTTTAGCAGTTTATTTATCTACAAAACATCAGAACTGATATTAGAATAACTTATTGCACACTTTTCAAAACAAACAAATAATTAAAAATGAATTATTTAAAACTATAAATAACACTTTGCAAATTTTATTTTCTTGCCTTAAGCTCATGAGTAGAGACATTCTGTTTTATATTTACAACTTGGCACTAAAGAACAGATGATCTGATTCCAAGGTTCAACCCATGTTGTGTTTACAAACCTACAGTAGCACAAGCAAATAGGCTTCTGGCAAAAATATCTCTTGTGGTCCAACAGTTACAGGAACACAGTGTCATTAAACAGAGACACGCCATACCAGTTTTATACCAAGGAAATATTTACATGTAAACCTTTCAGAAAGAAAATGTGTGTTTTTGTGTGAATTTGAACTCCTCTGCATTTGGCACTTATTCCAGAAATGCAAGAATGATTTTAAAATATTTATTATCATTCCTGCACTTTTCTTTCTTTCTTTCTTTCTTTTTTTTTTTTTACTGTTTTGAGCTCATGATGTTAAGATATTTTGTTAATTTTTTTCTTACATTGGCTTGTATCTGTCTATTAAGAACATAATATTAACAACAATTAATAACATAGTATTTATAAACTCTAACAACAGGCTCTTAGAAAGAGCAAGCTGCCTGTCAGCCAAGGCCTAACATGATTACATGAAGGAAAATATTTTAAAAATCCTATCTGACACGCCACTCAACCATAGCTGTGCACAAACTTGGATGTCCTTAGTCTGCCAACTCTCGTTCTGACATTGCACATTAATTATTACAAGGAAGGATCGATAAACTAATTTTATAGCAGGCAAATATGGAAATATTATTTACAACATAGAAATAAATATTGTTTTATTTTTTTAACAGATGTTTTGTTCAGTGCAAGAATACAGTACCTAGGCGATAGTGACTGGTACAGCCAGAACAGACCAGCTTCCAAAAGTATCGTCAGCTCTGACACAATCTAGAAGTGCTGCAACAGATTTCTTAGTTTGGCTGTCAGGTAGAGGATGGTTTGAAAGAGAGCTGGATGGGCGATGGGCATTCAACATTATGGCCAATTCAGAAATATTTCCTCCCTATAATTAACAGCTGTATCTCTGTGTAGCCTATCAGATTCCAAGATGCATCCCCATCTAAATGAAAATAACGCGCGTGATTTCGCTAATCCTTATCTGTCCTTTTTATCTGCTGGACTCGTAGCACTCAGATCACTATGGGACTGCGACGATGACATGCTGGTTATTTTTCCCATAATTGCAAGTGGGTGGTTTTTCATTAAAACTACGTTCGGCGGTGTTTTGTTGACATGAGTAGCGAAATGTCTCTTACTGTCCTTTTGGGTCTCCTACTGGCATCTGGTGGCTTTCCACTTGTTCGGAGCACCTGTCCTTCCCAATGCAGCTGCTTTTATCATAACCTGAGTGATGGATCAAGAGCCAGGTGAGCCTTGTTTTATTATCTCAACTGTAGCCTATTTAATTCATGCTATGCATTTTTACCCATTTGAAATGTGGTGCACTTGTGCTTTATTGATTTTTGCGCATTTCACATTCTGGCTACATAATGTGCGTAATACAGTTTAGGATATATTTACACACTGAAGGTATTTACTTATTCTTATTTTTTAGTATCACTTAGAGTTTTAAAATATGAATATGACATTTAAATTAAAAGAGCTTTCATTTTCATTGCGCAATATGGGTACATTTTGACGCAAATAATAACTTTTGATTTGTGATTTTTTTTTTACAAGCATTTGTAGCGTCAGTCAAAGCCCGCTGGTTTTAAAGATCCGTGTGCGCTTGCTTTCAAATCCCTGATTATCGCTCTTTATTCTTGTTTCTAATGCGTTTTGCAGGAGCGTGATTTGCAACGATCCTGAGATTTCCCTGTTGCCCGCCACGTTCCCAGGCGACACCTCGAAACTTCGGATTGAAAAGACTGCCATCAAGAGGATTCCGAGCGAGGCTTTTAGTTACCTCTCTAACTTAGAATTCCTTTGGATGTCTTTTAACGTTTTGTCCTCTCTCAACTCGGACAGTTTTCAGGGTTTGTACAGTTTAGAGGAGCTAAGGCTCGATGGAAATTCGCTCACTTCGTTTCCGTGGGAATCCCTCATGGACATGCCCAGTCTGAGGCTACTCGATATACACAACAACCAGCTCTCCTCAGTACCGTCTGAGGCTGCTCCCTACATACAAAATTTAACCTACCTGGATTTATCTAGCAATAATCTGCTGACAGTGCCATCTGAGGTCCTCAATACTTGGTTGACAGTCAAACCCATCCAGGGAGCAGAAAGTTCAAAAATGATTCTTGGTAAGTTTTTCCTTCGTCTTTATTTTCTTAATTTAATATATTGAGGTTATTATTTATTTGATATATTTGTATATTTAATTATTTATATAGATTATATTTCTGTTTTTGTACTTAAAAATGTTACTTGCCTTTTCTTTGCAATTATTTGTGAAATTTACTAGTAATTTCTGACTGAAAATCGTTTCAAAGTAAATCCTGCACCAATTATTTTCAGTGTATATATTTTTTATATAAATACATTAAAAAAATTCATAAAATACTAAAAAAAGGAAATTCTCTCAAAATTCTAATTTTTTATTACAATCATAAAGGTTTTCTTAATTTATGAGTTTTGTTTGTATGAGTAACTTGCCACTGATCATTTGTTTTGCCCCAGGTCTTCATGACAACCCTTGGTTGTGCGATTGTCGATTATATGACCTGGTCCAGTTCCAGAAGTCCCCCAGTCTGTCGGTGACTTTCATTGACACAAGGCTGAGGTGCGCAGATCCAGAGAGCCTCTCTGGAGTTCTGTTTAGCGATGCTGAGCTCCGGCGCTGCCAGGGGCCTCGTGTCCACACGGCTGTAGCCCGGGTGAGAACCGCAGTGGGCAACAATGTCTTGCTGCGATGTGGAACCATTGGAGTTCCCATCCCCGAACTGGCCTGGAGAAGGGCAGATGGGAAGCCACTGAATGGGACAGGTGAGTCAGCACAGTGGCGGGCGGCTAAGCAGCATTAGCCAGAAGTGCTAATGCACAGTGATTACACTGCTGGCGTGGACACAACAATGCACTGTGATTACACAATACTAATTAGTTCTTGCATTTTGAGCGAATGTACTCATGCGTTCTGCTTTTTTCCTTTAAATTTTGCAGCTCAACTGGAGAATTCGAAGGAGGGAATCGTTTGGTCTATTTTAAGCGTGCCTGCAGTGTCCTATCGTGACACGGGAAAATACATCTGCAAAGCAACAAATTATGCAGGGAGTGCAGAAGCTGTCATTTCTTTGATCATAAGTGACACACCCAAAGCTGAGAATCTGACTGTGGATCCAAAAACCAAAGTGAAGTCCAAAAAGCCGAATCCAATAGTCAAGGCAGCCTATCAAGAAAAACACATCGCCACGTATGTTTCCTCAACTCAAAACAATGCGCTACCACTCGGTGCCACCGTGAGCTACACAGGCCCATATCCAGGTATGGAAAGTGACAATGCCGCTAACAGCCGGACGAATACCCAAACGGCCAGTCCTGACGGGTTCCTAGAGACCAATCTGAGCAACCTGGCCGCGAACACATCCTCGCTGCAGCAAGACCCCGACAGGGTTGTGCGCTCTGTGAAAGTGATTGGCGATACAGACTACACTGTGTGTCTGAACTGGAGGGCACCAACTGCCAAGAACACGACCGCTTTCAGTGTACTCTACGCTGTGTTTGGCGAGCGGGATATGCGCAGAATTAACGTCAGTCCAGGCAACAACCGGATTATCATCGAGGGACTGGTTCCAAAAACCAAATACATCGCCTGCGTGTGCGTGAAGGGGCTGATCCCCAAAAAGGAGCAGTGTGTAATCTTCTCAACAGATGCAGCAGCAAGCGCTAATGGAACCCAAAAGCTCATTAATGTAGTAGTAATCACGGTTGCCTGCGTGATAGCCGTGCCTCTGACTGTGATAGTGTGCTGCGGGGCACTTAAGAGGAAAATTAAGAAGTTTCTGGGCAAAAAGTCCAAAGACATTCAGGACTCGTATGTTACGTTTGAGACTCTGTCTCCCAGCACCAAGGCTAGAGGCTTGGAAGGGGAATATCTCAACAGACTGAATGCAGAGGAGTCCAACAGACTGCTGTCGGCCCGGTCCAGCCTAGACTCGGAGTCCACAGCTAAGATTGAGGGACAGCCCAATGAATACTTCTGCTGACAATATCCCTCAGCCACAATTCCACCACGCAGCCATCACAGTATCCAGGCCCAGCCGCAGTACCTGAGTGCACATAATCTGTACCAGCAGTACATGACTGGCCATCCGTGAAGAAGCTTCAGGATACTTAGCATAAGTAACAAAGTGCAGAAGTGAAGACTTTTATGTTGTCTTGGTAAAGTTACTCTTTGTTAATGTGCTTTTGGACTTGGTTCTAAACTAAGCTTTTGGCTGGTGGTGGGGTTGTGGCTGAGCAATCCCAGGAACATGTAGATATGGACTTTTACCCCTTCAGGCAGTGCTAGGAGGAACTGATTCAAAGGGAAATGTTCATATGATTTGTTGTTTATTTGTATATGTGGAAAAAATCTATTAATATCTAATAATACTATTATTACATGAGGAATTGGGGATTAATTTCCACAGTTTGTTCATATTACACATAGTCATTAGTGTAACTGTAATGGAAACATATTAGTTGGGATTTTCATACACTGGAAAAAAAACTGGTGTAGAAAGTAAGTTTCTGAAACAGCAAGTAACACATTGAATTGAACATTACATTTTGGAATAGAAAGACAAAAATAATATTTTCTCATAAGCCACACTCCGATAATCTTTATTTATAACTTTGAAAAAACATTTTTTACAGTGCATGCACCAACATTGTCATCATTGTGTATGTGACATTATTTCAGTTTACCATGTGAAAACTTGTGCCACCTGAACCATTCAGAACTTTTGTGTCCCAGGTTGCTTAGTACCCATTTACGCTTCAAAATACATTTTGTGTATATATTAAAAAAAGTGTTACATTTAGTCTCTTTTTTTAAACAGCAATAGTAGGTCAGATCTACAATTAAGTTCCAATCAGTCTCTCACGGGGTACGTCAAGGATTACCGATAATAGGCTTTGCTCAGCTCTACCTGCAGTCATGTCGTGAGCAGACACGGAGCGGATACAACGTTATAGGAGACTATGGATGCCTCGATTATATTTCATTTGATTGTTTTCTTTCTTTTATTAAGTCATATCAGCTCAGAGTGTTTTCCAGGATGCTCCTGTGGGACTGACCGTTATGGGAGGTTAGTTGCAGCTCCTTTCAGTGCACACAGTATTAACAGATGTCAGTTAAGTAATTGAGTAAAGATTGTTTTTGTGTTGAGAACAGGGCTAGCTATAGTATATATGTGAGAGTTATAGTTTGTAAATATGAATATATGTATGATTAGAGGAACTTTTTTGCCTCTTTTGTTAAAGGAATAAAAAAATTGGTGATATATATGCATATGTGCTTTTATATTTTATTTTATTATAATTTTTTTTAGAATTGCTGTCCCTGATAGTACTGCCATTACTGCCATGCCAAGCATTTTTCCTGAGAAATTGAAAACCTCTGCTAGACAGCATGAATTCAGAAACATTTTTGTATTATTTTTAATGAATCCAAAGTTACGGGTTATCCAACCTTAAAAAAATCAATTGAAAGAATGGGATGTTTTTTGTAGGTCACTCACGTGTATGGAAGCGCCACTATCCGGCATTCCTGAGGACATACCGGAAGATTTAACTAAAATCCGAATAGAGAAATCACTGCTAAGTGAGCTACCAAAGGCAGCGTTTTCCCATGTTAAGTTGCTAAAGCATCTCTGGCTGAACTTCAATGACATCGCCATCATAAATATCAAAAGTCTGGAAGGTTTGGGCAACTTGACGGAGCTCCGGTTGCAGGGTAACAAACTGCGTTCAGTACCATGGACAGCGTTTGAGGAAACCCCCAACCTTAAGATCCTGGACCTGAAGCACAACCGCATCGACGCCCTCCCGGAACACGCGCTAAAGTTTCTACCAGGCCTGACCTACTTAGATCTATCCTCTAATCAACTCTCAGTCATTTCTAAAGACGTTTTCATGAACTGGCCTCTCTATCACACTGAAAACAAACACGAGCGACCTACAGCGTCCAACGTTGTTCTGGCGCTTCACGACAACCCGTGGCTGTGCGACTGTCGTCTGGGAGGCTTCATTGAGTTCATCAAATCTCTGAGTCCACCGTTCATTCTAATGAACTCATATTTGACATGCTCTAGCCCCGAATTCAAGGCAGGGAAATTTTTCCACGAGGTCGATCTAAAGACGTGTGTGAAGCCTGAGGTCAGCTCGCCAGACACCAACATCACCGCGCCGTTAGGACGGAACATCACGCTAACATGCTTTGCCACGGCCAGACCTGAACCTGCTGTTCGGTGGATATATGGTCTTAAGATACTAAGAGGATTTCGTGGTAAGGGATGTTTACATAGTTACACGTTTGTCTTCACTTAAATAGATATCTTTATTTAAAAATTAGGTGCTTAACCCTCAATTAGTGCACACAGATATTATTACACTTGGGAATGGTGTAAAAACACCACCTTTTGTATGTTACAAAATTACATGTTTAAACCTCATCTTCTTACACAGTTCAGTTTAAATAAAATATAAGCATATTTATGTTCTAAGTTTCTCAAAATCACCCAAAAGAGTGTATCAAAAAAGTTTTTCGTAGCATTTATTTTTAATAAAATTATAAACAAAAAATTGGTGCAAATTCCAACCGTCTATTGTGACACTGTCAGAGATGTAGCAATGAATACATATTTATTATTTATATGAATATAATATATTATTTTTTATATTGTATTAAAATATTAACACACACACACACATATATATATATATATATATATCATAGATTTATAAATTATCACTATAACAATCATCATCATCATGAATAGTAATAATACTCATTATAAATGCATTCTTTTTTTTATATAAATTATTAATATATTTTGTATATTTATTTTATAAAATAATATATAATATATAGATTTTATTTTTTTATAAATTTTATTTTTTTTTATACAGATTGTTATTTATAATAATAACAAAATGTTGTTGTTGTTATTAAATTGTCCTTAGTTTCAAAAACTGTCTATTGTGTGTTCAGAGATTCAGAGCCGTGTGGATGAGGACACCATCAAGTCTCAGCTGATCCTTCCTTCGCTCCATCCGGCCGATCGAGGGCTTTACACCTGCACTGCCAACAACTTCATCGGCAATTCCTCCATCAGTGTTTTACTGGATGTGAAGTCTCTGGAAGGCTCAGTGTCTCATTCCTCAGGCCTCCCTGCTGCCATCGCCGAGGAAAATGTTTACATTGATATCCGTATTGCCAAGCAGACAGTCTATGGCATCACAGTCGAGTGGCATGCTGTGACAGACAATCCAGCTGAAACCTGGTTCACCATCCATTTTGGCCGATATGACACACTCAAGAAGGAGCAGATATATATTGGGCCAGGCATCAACACATACTCTGTCACAGACCTGTTACCAGCCACTAAATATGAAATCTGTGTTACTCTAAAAAACCAGGCTCCTCGGAATGGCCAGTGCATTGTATTTGTGACAGGCAGTGATTTCAATGAGATGGAACAGAGAGAGAAACTCATTCATATTGTCATCATTGTACTTGCCATGGTCCTCGCTGTGCCCGCGGGAATGTACGCCTGCACCACCGATGCCAAGTTCAACTGCTTTGAGCGTTGCACGGAGATGTGGAGAAACAGGAGACATTCGGAACGCTCTCCCACATCTGATGAGAGACAGGGCACGTTTGACAGTCTCCAAGCTGCCAGTGATGAGGGCCTCTGCAAGGAGTCCAGCAAAGAGCAGAAAGCCAGACGAAGGTCTGCTGAGAAGATACAGAAACCAAAGAATGAACGAAGACCGACAGCTGAGCTTTACTGACACCACACTCTCAAAGACAGCTATAGACTCATTAATACCCATGAAAGGATTCAGACAAGCCTCCATTTAATTACATTGTGACATTTATCCAGCTTGAGTGGAGATACGAGTAAAGTTAATATGCTTATTATGGATGCCACAATCTTCAGAAGAGAGTCTCAACTGGTCGAACTCATGGATCAGCTGCTGCTGGACAGGGTTTTCCAGACAAACTGGTAAAATCCACGGAATAAAAGCAAAGACCATTAATACACTGAATCTCTGGTACAACTATATTTAGAAGAGAACAAATGCACTTTGACAACTCGTGACAATTAGTAGGGCTCAAAACATAGAAAACATTCATAATACAACTACTGTATATAAAATAGATTTTGATCAGTTTATTATATGTGGTTGATGATGATATTTTTAATTAAATGATGAATTATTTTAGGTTGAGTTGCACTTGTATGATTGTTTATGTAACAGATTTATTTTAATGCACATAATACGAACACAGGAGGACAAAACAGATTAAGATTTTTTTTATGCCTGTTCCATATCATGTCGATCCAACAGTGGACCCAATACTTTACTTTTAAAATAGACACAGGTGTCAGTTAGCAAGCACTTTGCAAACAAACTGAAAATGTCATATGCAGACAATGAAAACTGAACAATGAGTGATACAAGGCTGAAATACACTGACCTTTAAAGGAACTTAAAAAAGTTGCTGTTTTGGAAAATAAATGTTATAAATATTGTTTTATGAACGTTTTTTTCTCCTAAAGTATTATACTTTGTTTCTTTAAAAAAAATTAGTGATAGGTGCAATATTTGTCTGTCAGTAAATGTATAAAAGTATATTTCGGAACTTGTGTTTCTGTAGTTGATTTTGTATGATAGATTGTGGACAGTGCAATTGAAGGCTTTAAATTTAATTCAAGAGATTTGTGAAGATGCATGAAATAACTATCAGGCTGAAGGTTTAGCGCTGCTGAAGCGTGCCACTCTGCACCAATCCAGGCTTGTTGACAGTTAAGCTTTGGTTTTTTCCATTGTGGTGCTGCTAAACCAGGATTAAAACATACAGTATGTGACCAATCATGCTACGTCACTAAAGCAGAGCACAGTTCTCTGCATACGGTATACTTATACCCATGCTCATAAATCTGTGCGTGGAACTTTTTGAAAATGGTTTTAATGGATATGCTTTTGATACTGGAAGAGTGCTTAAAGAAAACAGATCTTTATGTATTTCAGTGTTAAACTTTGAGTGTTCTGACTTTACATCACTTTACAGGTCTCTGTGACCTTAACCAGAGGGCTCCAAAATCAACTAGACAAAATGTACGCATCTTGATTTGAATGTTCTGTTTTTCTTTTATCCCAGTCCATCAGCGCACTTTGCAAGTTTGTAATCCTCTCTAAAAAAACAGTAATCCTACTTGCTTGCTACAGGGTATAATTCCATGTCATTTGTGCTTTTACTCCCAGTGCTGCTTTTACTATCTGAAAACAGACTTTCCTTATCACAGCAGTTTTGTCTTATGTGCTTTAAAGAAGAAAGAGTCATAAACATTTTCAACGATGAGTAGCACACACCTAAAAAACTTACCGTGCATGTGTCTCTTTAAATATATAAACACCTGTTTAGAGATTTAGGAAAGCCAGAGAAAGACAACTCATAATTGTTATGCTACAAATAAATACAAATGAAACAACACATTTGAATAAATATCAATTTATTTACAAAAGGTTGTATATAAACAGAGATCATTCCAACAATTATTTGACATTTAATACTTAACTGCATGAACACTGACAAGGTACATGAAACATTGCACAAATTGATAACATAACACTGGCTTTCCTCACTGAAGGACAGGAAGATAACTATTTACTCAAATCATTATATAATATTGCAACTGTTTTCAGGGGTCCATCAGTCAAAAAAATGTATTTACCAAATAAACCAACAAATGAATGCTTAGAATTTGGCATTGTTAGTGTTCGTTCAAGGTCTAGAAAATATTATGAGACCCAGAATGGATTTATTTACTGGCCTCGGCGACACCTGTATTTTTGAAAGAAAAAAAAACTATTCCCATAAAAAAAAAAAAAAAATATATATATATATATATATATATAGTGCATACTACATGATTTTGAAGAATGAAAACTCACACTCCTTGCCAGTTATACACAGTTAAAAATAAATAAATAAATAAAAATATCAGTGAAACAGAGTAACCGTTAACCAATTATTTTCCATCCAGAAGAGGGCAGTACACAGAGTCGTCGTATTAGCAAGGTGTTAGTCTTGGCTAGTGACACTTTGCCTCAATTCCACTAGGTTCAACCTGCAATCCCAGCTAAACTCTTCACGCATTAGAAAAGACACTGTACAGTAAGAAGCTTCCAGAGCTGGCCTGCTGAGATCTGGTCCTTGCACAAATCTTGCCAGAAATCTCTTTTGTCAGAAGAAACACGTTTTCTCTCCATTGAACACTGGTATTTATATACATGCACTTCATCAGTATCGGTTTGCCATGTTTTTCTGCTCCAGTCTAAGTTTGAGTTCAGAAACCAGTGCTGTGTTGACAGGATTGTCTTTACCCCTATGAGATCTTTTCTTTGTCTTGGAGGCCACCGAGGCAGAAACTGTAGGTACTGTCCACTCCCGATCACCGTGTCTATAGTGACTTGGCAATGGCGGGGGCATGTCAGGGGCGTTAGGAGGCGACGGAGGGGCTCGATGTGAACATCCTTTGACATTATTGTTACGGTTGATATTGTCTGCTGTAGGGATCTCCAGATCCTCATTTCTGAACTTACCTCCACAGCATTCCTCTCTGAATGGTTGCTGGAAGTCGTCTTGTCTCCGGGGTTTACGCTTCCTTCGTATGATGCGACGGGAGGGTAGGATCTTGTTGGACTTGACATTTCTCACGTATATAACAGTAGAGATGAAGACTGTCACAAAAAGCATGATTATAATGACACCACTGACCAAGCCTAGGAATTGCATGGGGTTTTCCCTACATTTCAACAAAAAGGACGTCAAAGGTCCCTTGAGTTGAGTCTGTAAAAGAGCACAAAGAGAAATCAAGTCCATAGGACCCAAGGATGATGTACTATAGGCTTCCTGCTGTTTGGTCAGAGACACATGGTAAAAGTGAGGCAAATAAACATCTCAACTCCCAGAGAGGCCAACAGCAGTTAGCACAGCACACTTGAGTCAAATGTATGTAGAGTCAGTATACTGTATGGGTTAGAAAGCATTGCATGGCATCTCAAAAGCTGAGAACAGATTGATAACAACTGATTTGGTGGCAATTCATTTGGTGATTTATAAGTTCTGTTAAAGACTAAATGGATTTGAATGTTAAAACAGAGTCTGGTTGCACAGTAAGACAAGATCAGAAGGGTTGAATGAGGCACCCAGAATTAAGACCATGCAGCCTAATTTTTATAATCTCAAAAAGATCTACTGTATGATGTAGACTGAACGGATAAACGGACTATTGTTTGGAGCCACATAAGAGCAAAATAAAAGCTATTGTTCTGAAAGGGTGTACTCAAACTAGGCACGGTTGCCTTGAACCGAGCGCGAGTATCCCCCCTCCCCCGCTGGCCTGCACTCACACTTGCACTAAACACTCCGGGCCGGAGCACGCTTACGTCATGTATGAGATAACGGAGAAAACCACTTTCGCTAGTATTCTGCCGAATAATTAATAATAATTAATTTATCATTTTTGCCGTGCATTGATTTTCACTTATGTATCAGAAAATTATTACGGAAGCAGCTGACGTTAATGAAATAATTTGCAGCTTTACTCACAAACTACATTTCCTGTTCATCAATAAGGTAAGAACCAGAGCCATTATAAACTTAAATATACTTGATTAAATTAAATGAATTGAAAAGTGTAGTGCAGTAGTAGTAATATAATATGTTTGCGGTCGTAATGATGACAGTAGCGCACACAAAATACTATCTGTTCCGTGCTCTGGCGCGGTTAGCGCTCACACTGCATGAGTACCACGCCCGAGCCCAGCCCAGCCGAACCGTGCCCTGCCCCACCTCTTCCAACCGGGCCAGAGCCGGCTAAACGAACCGCGCCCGAGCGCGGCACGGAGCACTCACACTAGTCAAACGAACCAGGTTTTGGGGGTCAAACGCGCTCGGGCACGGTTCAAAACGCCTAGTGTGAGTACACCCTAATAACTGTGCTCCTGTACTCTTTTACAGACTTTTCACTTGCCTTTAAACAACAGTAAAATCATGTAAGGATGGAAAAATATGAAGAAGAATGCTAAGTATTGGTGTCGGTGTCAAAGTGTCTGATGGTCAGGGCCTCCTAATAATCTTTCTGATCTTGCCCCTTGGCTGGACCCGGGACTTTTTCACAGATTTCCAGAAAATTATGGTGGATATGAAAATGGTCAGACAGATGGCGAGGACTACAGTGCTCAAACAAATCCCGAAAACAGTCCAGGGCTGAGTTCTCAGACTCAAGAAGTATGAAATCATTCTGGATTTGATCTGTAAAGCACAGAATAACACAAAACGTATACTAGATTTTATATGAGGTTTGCTTACAATACAGCATGATTCAGTTTTTTTGTGTATGCATTTAAGAGATATATTTATATTCTGATAGCTTTTCTGGTTTTCATGTTGAATTACGTGACTGTCAAAATGCATAAATGAGAAGGTCTCTTGAGTTGTTTTGAATGCAATCATATTTTCTTATATACAATAAATACTTTCATATTTGAAACTAATAGGATTCTCAGAAAAAAAGCATTAATAAAGACCCACTTACCGCTTCTGTGATGTCAATCTTTACCACCGTGGTGGTGCTGAAGGATGGTGAACCTCTGTCTTTGGCCTGAACAACCACAGACCAGGTACAGTCTTTGTGATTGCTGATATTCTGGACTATGTCCATGGACTTGATGTACGGCTTCAGCTTTATTTCCCCTGTGTCTGCATCCATGTCAAATATGTCATCTGGGTCAGACTTCATGATGGAGTATTCAATGACATTATTGGGCTCTTCTGCATCTTCATCAACCGCCTACAAATAATCAAACACAGTCAACTGACCAGTGTTCTATTAGAAGAACAAACAGAACATACAATATAACAAATATAGCTAACCTCTATTTTCACTGGTGCACCAATCACCATTGTCTTCTCCAGAGAGTTTTCATTGAATGCTGGTGAATGGTCATTGAGGTCCATAATGGTGACAAAGACTTCTGCAAGGCTGTATTTTCCGTCACTGTCTTCGGCTTTCACATAAAAGTTATACTTGGATTTGACCTCGGCATCCAGACTGGCCCATGGCTGAGTGTAGATGATTCCAGAATCAGGCTGAATGAGAAACCTGCGGAAAAATGTAAAACAGGAAATTAGTTCTATAGGGAAAACCAGGATTACACAGAGCTTGTTGTGTTCAGGGAGATGTTAACATGATTTAAAGCTTTCAGAACACTATAAATGAGTCACTGGTACTCTCTCTATTTGAAAACTGTTATTTATACTTATTGTCAACAGGATGAAATTGTCTATACTACTGTCCAAACGTTTAGGGTTGGTAAGATTGTTTATGTGTTTGAAAGGCTGAATTTATTTGATAAAAAATTACAGTAAAAACTACTGTTGTCAAACATTAAATAATTTTAAACAGCTATTTCCTATATGAATATATTTTAAAATGCAATTTATTCTTG